TTCAGAATGTTTGTTTTCCAAAGACATATTTATGTACAGAAACGACAACTAACTGGCCACTTGCATTGCTAATTTGAAGAGAAAGAAGACCAACAGTTGAGGCGTTTATCTCGTCTCCCGTGGTTTCGCGAGACCAAACCCGCTGCGAGAGCAGACGCGGGATACAGAAGTCGTGGGGGGATAGCTCTGGATGACGGCCGACGTGATCACGTGATAATCGCGGGAGGTAACTGCGATAATCGTGTAAGTAATGGGTGGTGATGTCAATAGCAGGCTGGTTGTGAGAGTGTTGAAAGATACGGAAGATGTGTGTGGCTATTGGAGAATTATAACGGTTGAAAAGTGATATGGGTAATGATGGAGAGAAAAGATTAGCAGATTCCAATTGGAGGTACGTAAGAAAAGTCAGATGTTGGGAAATTGTGGCGTCGGCAGTGGTTGTCTAGCGGTTAAGCTACGGGACCAAGGACCTTACAACAAGGTTACTGTATAATCTCCTTGTACGGGACTCGTAATCCTGAGGTGGCTGGTTCTGGGGTTCGAGCCTCAGGCTCCACATAATGTCCTTGGGAAAGGCACGTTATATAAATTTTCCTCTCTTCACCAGGGTTGGAAGGGGTACCCGGCCATAGACAGCGATAGATCGTGTCAGTATGTTAGTTTCTTAGCGCCTGTAAAATGGCGGCTAGCACTGTATGCTTCCCAGGAAGTTGAGATTTTTTTCTCAGAATGCTATCAGGTTCGCTACCCGAACTTTATTAAGTCCTATCTGTTCAATGCTTAGTTTTGACAAACTTGAAGTTAAAAATTTCGATGAGTTTCATAAAATACCAAACCGTTTCGAATGCAATTTTAAAAAATCTTGATAGCAACTCTGAATAATCTTACGATTTTGGAAGAGCAGGCCTAGATATAACATTTAATTTTAGTTTCTGACTCACTTAGTAATTAAATACGGCCAAAATTCTCAGATAAAACGTTGTAATTTTAAGGAAGCGAGTTGCCCCCTCCTGAATTTTAATGATCTAGATTGTGTCAATAGGGGTGTAGGACATTTGCAACAAGAAGACGATTGGGAGACACAGAAAAGCGCTATCTTTTGTATTTTAAAATTTAACAAGGAACCCCCATCCCCCCCCCCAAAAAAAAAAATTTAAAAAAAAATACGAAAGCGCGAATCATGAAAATCTTTTATCACTGACTTTTGGCTTGTCAAATATTTCGACTTCTTTTTTCAGGATTGCGTTCGGTCCCCGATGCTTAATAAATATTATGTTCAATAATTTTATATTTTTTCATCATTATTATTATT